CTTCTCTGATTTTGTTTTTATCTTCATGGTTATATTATGCAGCTGCAATTTCAAAATAGCTTGTTATTATTAAAGATGTATTTTGTAAAAGTCTCATGGTCCACATAGCAAAAATTTGTAATATATAAACTGAAAATAATAAGCAAGAAATAAAAGCACACTCTTAGAGTAATTGGTTCAACCACAAAAAAGATTATGAAAGAGGGAGAAATAAACAAAAATAAAGGAACTAAACCAAAACTAAATGGTGCTGAGAAAACTGGACATCCACATGCAGATTGGGCCTAAACACTTATCTCTCTCCTATAATAAAAAAACAACTCAAAATGGACTAGTAAATATAAGACCTAAAATTATGAAACTACTGGAAGAAAACAGTGGTTCAAGACACTGAAATGGGCAAAGGTTTTTTTGAACAAGACCCAAAAAGCACAGGAAATAAAAAGAAAAATAGACAAATGAGATTACATCAAACTAAATATTTTCTGTGCTGCAAAGTAAACAATGAATGGAGTGAAGAAACAGAACGGAAGCTACAGAATTAAAGAAAATGCCTGCAAACTATACATCTAACAAAGGGGTTAGGATCCAAAATACATAAGAAACTCCATAAACTCCATAGCAAAACAAAAAACAAAACAATTTTATAAAATATGTAGCAGATTTAGGGGCTGGGGATTTAGCTCAGTGGCAAAAGTGCCTGCCTTGCAAGCAGGCAGTCGTGAGTTCGATCCCTGGTACCGATAAAAAGGAAAAAGACAAAAAAAAAAAAATGTGTAGCAGATTTAAACAAGCATTTCTCAAGCCGTGGGCTGGGAAGACAACAAAGAAGTCAGCCCAACCGCCTCATGAGCCAGCCAGTGCACAGGCTAAAATAAGAAGAGGGCTACACCCCCCTACCCCACCCATTTAGGTGACTGGCTGATTCAGAGAACACAGGCTGGGATGATAGCAACTGAGATACAAAAACAACTTAAAGCTTATATTGATTGATTGACTGCAGGCCTGGGGCCAATAGTCTGAGCATCTGTTTAGGTGATAATATGCAATATAACAACTATGGGGGATTTCCTTCTGTCTTTATTTTGAAACCCAATACTGTTCTTGTTGTTTTGTTTTATTCCCTTCAAAATTCAAAATAAATAAATAGGCATTTCTCAAATGAAGACCCAGGAATGGCTGACTGGTACATGAAAGTGCCCCATATCACCACGCATCACAAAAGGGTAAATTAAAACCACAATGAGACATCACCTCGTCGCAGTAAGAATGTGTATTATGAAAATAACTAAAGATAACAAGTGCTGGTGAGAATGTGGAAAAAGGAAACACTTGTACACTATTGTTGAGATGTAAATTAGTAAGGCTATTATGGAATACAATATGGAAGTTCCTCAGAAAGTTAGAAATAGAACTACCCTATGATCCAACAATTCCACTGTGTATATATACAAAAGAAATGAAGTTAGTAAGTTAAAGAGACATCTACACTCCCATGTTGACTGTAGCAGTACTCACAATAGCCAAGAAAGGAAAACATTCTAAGTATTTACCAACCAAAGAACAGATAAAGAAAATGTGTTATATATATATATATATATATATATATATATATATATATATATATACCATGGAAAACTATTTGGTTTTAAAAAGAATGAAATCCTGTCATTTTCAGCAACAAGGACAGAGCTAGAGATCATTATGGTAAATGAAATAAGGCACAGAAAGACAAGTACTGAATAATCTCACTCTAAAGAAAAATCTAATAAAAGTTGGTCTCATAGAAATTTAGAGTCAATGGGGGCTGGGGTTTTAGCTCAGCAGCATAAGCACCTTCCTTGCAAGCAGGCAGTCGTGAGTTCGATCCCCGGTACCGATAAAAAGGAAAAATCCAAAAAAAGAAACTTAGAGTCAAATAGCAGTTATCAGAGACTGGGTAGAGTAAGGGTGGAGGAAGACAAGGAACTGTTGATCAATATATACCAAGTTACAGTTGGATAGGACGAAGAAGTTCTGGAGTGCTGTGAACAACAGGATGACTATAGGTAATGATAATGTATTTACATTGCAAAAAACTAAAAGAGTTTTGAAATTTTCTGCTATAAAGAAATAAATAATGGAGGAGATATACCTAACACAATTATATACATTGAAAAATACATTTGCAAACTATAGATCAAATACACACATTGATAAATAACATGGTAGTCCTTATTAAAGGACTATTAAAGTCCGAATAAAGGACTATATGTATTAACATATAATTCTGTGTTTTTAATTTATCAGTTAAAAATAATGTTTAAGCCAGGTGTGGTGGTACATGCCTATAATCCCAGCACTCAGGAGGCTGAGACAAGAGCATTGTTGCAAGTTCAGGACCAGCCTGGGCTACAAAGTGAGCTCAAGGGCAGCCTGAACAGCATAGCAAGACCCTGTCTCAAAAGACTAGATAAATAAATAAATAAAATTTAAAAGAAATAAACCATTGATAACTCCAACAACTTAGAAGGATCCCAAGGGAATCACAGTAAGTGGTAAAAATCAATTTTAAAATACTATGTTCTAGCCAGGCATGGTGGTACATGCCTGTAATCCCATCACTCAGGTGGCTAAGATACCAAGGACTGACACAAACTTGAGGCCAGCCTCAAGTACATAGTGAATTCACAGCCAACTCGCAGTACAAACTGAGACTCTGCTTCAAAAAAAATTGTTCTCTGTGTTACTTCATTTACAGTATCTGTGAATTGATAAAAGTATAGAAATAGAGGACAATTAATTGTCAAGGACAGAAAGATAAGGGGAAAGAGAGTTGTGGCTACAAAAATGTAGTATTTAGGTATTCTTGTGATGATGGAACAGTTCTGCATCTTAACTATGGTGATGATTACAACGGTTACATATGTAATAGAGTAAAATATATATTAATGTATATTAGTATTGCTTGTGCAACTTTATAAAATATGTACACTTGGGCCACATCCCCACAATTCTAATTAAATCTGGACTGAGCCTTGGCTATCTATGACTTTGAGATGCACCTCTAGTAAATAAATATTAAAAATGAGGGGATAATATAATGCAAATATTAATAGTGTTTGGAATTATATGATCACAGGTAATTCGAATTTCTTATTTTGCTATAATACCAAGCTTTTGAGCAACAAAAATAAAAGGATTTTTAAAAATCCAAACAAATTCTAATGGCAGTCAACTAGAAACCTCCAACTCAGTAAGGACTATATAAGGATCAGCAATATACTCCCTACCCCATACAGTACTGGGGATTGACTACAAGGCCTTCACACTAAGCTGTAGCCTGAGCCTTTTTTGAAGATAAGGTCTTGATGTATCATTAAGTTGGCCAAAATTAGTTCAAACTTGTGGTCTTCCTGCCTCAGCCTCATATGCAAAATTACAAGTGTACCCCATCACATATGACTATGATTAGAAATCTTTGGGTTCCACTTCACCTATTTAATATTTACCAACTTTTTACTCTTAACTAATTTCTATACTCTATGATTTTTATATGAGAGACATGCTCATATTTTACTGATGAGCAACTATACTATGTCTACCTTATTTCCCTTGTCTGTCGCCCCCAAGTGAGCCCAAAGCATTCATCTGGCACTTAATAAAGCATATAACTATACCAGTAGTACCTTTTCTTCTCAATTATGTAATAAGACTGACTGGTATATACTAGCTATGTTTTCTGTCTCCTTGAAAATTCCAAAGCAATTCGTTCAATTCTCATTCAGCAAAGATTTATTGATTCCCTACTATGTACCAGGTACTATTCTGAGCTCTCTTCCCCTAGCATAAAATAATTATTCATAGCAGTATTCCCTTGGTTTCTATCCCCGAACAAACAGTTTTCTGTCATGCCTGCCACACTGCTCTTCCTATTAACCTATTCCACCCAACCTTGAAAGATCTTATCATTGACCCCATTCCAAATTCTTAGATTGGACTAGTGACTTACAAGTCTTTGAAAGTAGAACTTCAAAAATACCACATATGTTTTGCCCATTCCTTGATTGAGGGGCACTTGGGTGGTTTCCAAGATTTAGCTATTACAAATTGTATTGCTATAAACATGGGTTCACATATATCCATGCAGTATGATGTGATATTTTTACACAGTGCAGTGCTACTCAGCTATAAAGAAAGATTGCATCAAGTCTTTTATAAGTAAATGGACACAACTTGAGACCATATTCATTAAGTGAAATAAATAAAACTCACATGTGTAAATAACAAATAGTCACTCTAGTGTAAGAAACTGAAAAAATATATGTAATCCAAAATCTACAATAAATACTGTGTAAGGGTAAGAAACTGCTCAAAGAGGAAAAGTAATTGGGATGGGGGAAAGGAAGAAAAAAGGAAGGGAAAAACACAAATTTGTATATATACACATAAGATACTAAAATGACTATACTACTAATTGCATTAGCTACTGGAAAAAATAGCTAATATTCATATGATTAGATCAATTTTACATCTATATCCATTATTCTAAGCAACCCTTTTGTAGGTAACCATATGCAATATTACAACCATCATCAAATTCCTATCATCTTGCTTTGTAAACCTTTACTGTTATTGTATTGGGTTCACTGTTGTTTGTCTCTTTTGCTTTTTGTTTTGCTTCTCTATTTTTTCATAAAAATTTTAAAAAATAAAAATAAAAAATAGTTTTTAAAAAGCATAACTATCAGACTATCACTGCCTTTTTTAGAAACGGTCTCTCCTTCAACTAGGTTCTCATAGTATTTTATTTACAACATTCAGAGTACTTAGCACATTTTACAGTATATCATATTTGTCTATATGTCTTAGTTTACCCCCTAAATTATAAGCTCCTTGAGAGAAGGAACTATACTTTTTTTCAGCTCTGTAGATCCAGTAAATTTTTTATCATGCTTTTGCTGGTGATTCTGAATAACCAAAAAAGTAGCAGCTGTTTAGGCAACAATTGTCAATCTTACCTGTACTTCCACCAACCAATCCACAAGAATGGCCCTCATGTCACTGGTGATCTCAGTCTGCCTTTTCATGTATTTTTCAAGTATGAACTTTTCCTGGCATCAGTGAGAAAGAAAGGTCAATAAATTCTTAACAATACTCCCCCACAATTCTAATTCATTATTTTCAACTGGTATAAGAAAGGGAATGTTCAAAGTATCGTTTTCTACACAAGTTCAAGTTATCTTTTGGAAAGTGGATACACGCAGTATTGAAGTGTCAGAACTAATAGGAAGGAATACAGGGCACTAAGGGTAGGAGAACACCTACAGTTATAGATGAATTTTTCTGCCTCTACTTTGCAATTCAGCCTAAAAAGTAATACCCTGCTATGAAAAGCAGTTCTTTCCAGGCTTCCATTTACATGGCAACCTTGGGGATCTTAAAATATATCAGACTCTGATTTAAAAGATCTGTAATAGGATTATTTTTCTGCATTTCTTACAAGATTCCAAGTAAAACTGATACACACTTGCTTTGGCAGCACATATACCAAAAGAAACCAATATTGCTAAGCCAAGACTTAGAAAAACAAAGTTATCTCACTTTCTCTAAGGTATAGATAGTCCCCAACTTACAGTGGTTGATTTAACAGTTTTCCAGCTTTGCAATAGTGTGAAAGCAACATATATTCAATAAAAAATGTACCAAAACCCAATTTTTTTGGTACCAGGGATTGAACTCACAACCTTGCTCTTTCCAGGCAGGTTCTTATGTCACTGAGCTAAATTCCCAGCCCCAGATAAAAAGTCTACTTGGTAGATAATCTTGGTATTGTCCATTCCATTGAGAGAGACGGGAGAAAATTTGGACGAGTGAATATTGGTAGTAAAGAGAACAGAAAGATTTCAAAGGAAAGAGACAAAAGCACCAAGTTAGAGAGCTGAAATAAGAGATGTGATTTTATATACAGTGCGAGAAACAATCATACAAAAGTAAATCTCTAAGAGCAACCACTCAGAAACAAACTACTTGACCATCTCTATATCTGAGATTGTCTCCTCAGTACCTAGAAGTGCAGGAATATGATTCAAAATAATCAGATTTTAGCCCCTATGTCAGTTGTACCATATATTAGTTGTATGACTCTAGAAAGTTGCTCCTGTATATAAAAGGGAGATAACAATGCCTACCATCATGAAATTATTGGGATAATTAAACAAGATATTGTCTATAAATCTCAATACAATGTCCAACTGATAGCAAGCTAACAGATTTTAGCTGCTGCTGTTATTTTTTCTTTCACCATAATTATCTTCCTTTCCTAGTTGCATGCTAAAAAATGGAATGATGAAGAAATGAGAATTATATGAATAACTGCCTATTCCCAGTTACCTACACACCTCTCTGTCTTTTAAGTAACTAAAGATTTCGTTGGCATATACTGAGCTGAAAGACGAATCACAGTGGTCCTTGTCAGTGTCTTCCAGTGTGGTCATCTGCTTGGAAACAATCAAAAAGACATATTAGAAGAGACTCCAAAGAAAGCTCAATATACATTAGGAATGATGCTTTTCTCCCCTACCGTTTCCTTATTCTGAAGTTCTTTAAAACCCTGAACTATCGAGTACCTCTTGTCCTTGGAATTCCCCATACTATGTAATGATCCAGAATTGCATAGTATATGCCTGCTTTGTCCTAGGAAAAAGTCATCCTTTTAGGGGTAAGCTCAACTCTCTAAGAAAAACATTCATGTTTTATTATTAGTTAGATCACTGACTTCTTAGGTTCCCTGTTATGTCGCAATGCTTTGATCTGGCCCAGTTCATCTTGGTAGCGTTTTCCTCTCTTCTGCACTATTATTCTGGTTGTTTCAACTATAAAAGGGATATTTCTCTGCCTACTTGCTAAATTTCATTCCTTCTAATTTGAAACTCAATGAACACATTCCTTGGGAAATGCCCATATGAACTCTGCCCATCTTTGACTGAAATTTATATGATGCTGAAATTACTGAGAGAGATAATTTCCTGAATGAAATTATCTAACCTCTATTGCAAACCCCAAGTATACAGTAGGCCCTTGTGAATATAAATACTTTCTGATTAGGTAGGTATATCACTGCACCAATTAGGAAGTCAAAAAATTCTATGAGGCCAGTTTAATGTAAGAGAAAAATGCCAAAGAGCCTAGTAGATTTATCTCTTACTACAGATAACCTCAAACTACAAAAATCAGAAGAGATTATTCTGCATTACCTGCCATTAAATAAAACCAGAGGTAAACCCAAAGACTATCCCCTTCTTACTAAGTAATGGGACATCCATAACTTACTGTATACAGTTGAATTGCTTATGAAGGCAAATGAAAAATCTCCTTGGGAACAGGGATATAGCTCACTGGTAGATTGCTTTGCATATGCAAGCCCTGGGGTTCAATCTGAGGCACCAAAAAGACCTCTTTGCTAGTAGTTACCTCTAGGACAACAAAAAAACCCTTCATCTAATCTAAGAAAAAAGAAAGATGAATACCTCCATATGTGTTCTGCTTTGAGATAAAGAAGGCATTTTGGAACCAGATTCACTTGCAATGGACTCTCCCACACTGGACATATTGGCAGCACTGAACTCGCCTGTTCTGGATTCAACAGTATCGCTAGGCATATGTGGGCTAGTCCCAAGGAACAAGAGTGTTTCTGGCAAAGTATCTTCCTTCTCAGTAGGATTCTCTTCTAAAAATAATGGCTCTTGAAAGGACAATTCATTCTCAGTGGTGGATTTCTCATTCAAGGCTAATGTCTCCTTGAAAGGGAATGCTGCATTTATGGTAGATTTCTCCAGCAAGGCTAATGGCTCCTTGGAGGGTACTTCATCCTCAATGTTAGACTTCAACTGAAAGGTTAATGGCTCTTTGAGGAAAGCTTCCTTCTCAGTGCTAGGCTTCTCCTGCAAGGACAAAGGCTCCTTTAGAGCAGACTCCATCTCAGGGCTGGGCTTCTCCTGCAAGGCCAACGGCTCTTTCAGCATAGCCTCCGACTCAAGGCCAGCTTTCTCCTGTAAGGCCAAAGGCTCTGTGAAGATGGTTCCCTCCTCAATTGTAGGTTTCTCCTGCAAATCCAAGGGTTCCTGGAAGATGGGCTCTTTCTCAGGGCTGGGCTTTTCTTGCATGGCTGAAAGTTGGTTGAAATTCACCTCTATGTCAGTGGTATGCTCAAGAACAGCCTCCTTCTGAGTGCTGAGTTTCTCCTGCATGGTCAAGGTCTCCCTGAAGAGGGCTTTTTCATTGCCCACATATTCCTGCAATGCCAATGCTTCCTTAATAAGGAACCCTTCATTATCAGTGATGTTCTCATGCAAAGACAATTGCTCCTTTAAAAGATGTGCCTGCCCCTGAGCAGTGGGCTTGTTATTTATAGGTAACTGCCTCTCTGTACTTGTTGCTTCCTTAGCAGATGGCTCTTTCTTCAAAACTGAGAGCTTATTGCAAAGGGACTCTTCTGCCATGGTGCTCTTTTCATGAAAAGCCAACGGCTTCTTCAAAGACAACTTTTTAATACCCGTTTCCTCTTGCAAGACCACAGCCTTTTGGAAAAGGGACTCATCTTTGTTAGTAGGATTAACATGCAAAGAAAATAGCTCCTGAGAGAGGAACTTCTCCTCAGTGATAGGCTTCTCCTTCAAAGTCACTGGTTCCTCACTACAAGATTCTTCCTCAGTGTTGGTCTTCTCCTGCAAGGCTATTGGCTTTCTTGAAAGTGTCACCTCCTGAAAAGTAGTGTGCTTCTCTTTTAATGCAGATTGTTCCCGAAACAGGAATTCCTCTTTAGTTGTTGGCTTCTTTTTAAAAGGTAGCAGCTTCTTACAGAGTGATTCGTCTTCCAAAGTAGTCTTCCCCTGAGTTGTTTGCTTCTTCTTCATAGATGATGGTGCATTGGTGAAGACTGCCTTTTTAGCTGTACATTTTTTTGTAGATGATACTGGCTTCACTAAAACGGAATTCCTATCTTTAGCAATTATATCCTGCCAGTCTGAAAGATCTATCCAGCGACACATTGCTTGAGTTGTACACTTTATCTTCTTTAAAAATATATTTTCTTTAAAGGACAATGGATCCTCAATGGTTGACTTCTCTTCAGAGGTGACTGTCTGCAATACTAATGGCTCCTTCAAATGAGACACTGTCTGTTGAGTAGTATGCTGTTTATTCTTTAAAGGTAAATGTTTCTTACTGGGGGTTACATTCTTAATGCTATACTGCTTTTGAAAATCCAAAGACTCCATCTTAGTGGGCGATTTTTGCAGGGTCACAGGCTTCTTCAAAGTGGACACTTCCTTTTGTGTCCTATCCTCCTCTTGCGATGAAAACAACTCCTGAGAAAAGAAATCTTTTTCACTGATAGATTTCTCAAAGGACAATGGCTCCTCAGTGGGTGAATTCTCTCCACGAGTGACTTTCTGAAGTGTTAGCGGCTTATAGTGGCAAAATTTCTTCTGAATTTTCTGCTTCTTTTTTAAAGGTAATAGCTTCTTGGAGTGGCTAGCCTCTATGGTAATACAATGTTTCTTAAAGGAGACTGCCTCCATAACAAAGCTAGCTTCATTGTTCATATTTTCCTGTAAACCCAAAGGCTTCTTCAAGAGCTCTACATCTGCTTGAGTAGTATGCTTCTCTTGTAATGCAGATGGCTCTTGGTAGAATTCAGTGATAGTATTTCTTTTAAAGGACAATGGCTTTGTATTGAGTGACTTCTCCCCAGAGATGACCTCCTTCACTTCTAATGGCTTTTTTAAATGAGATGTCATTCCATAAGTAATGCACTTCTTTCCATGAGTAGTGCATAGCTTCCCTTGAATCATGCATTTCTCCTTTCCAAACACTGGGCTTGTGGGGAATGTTGCCTCCTCAGGGGTAAAAGTTGGTAAGTCCTTAAAAAGAGAATCCTCTTCAAAGTCAGTCTTCTCCTGCAAGGGCAATGATTTCTTCAAGATGGGGATCTCTTGCTGAGTAGTGTGTTTCTCTTTCACTGCAGATGGCTCCCAGGAAAAGGACTGCTTGTTAGCAGTAGGCTCTCTCATAATGGTTGATGGCTCTTTAGTGACTAACTCTTCTTCAGAGGTGTTCTTCTGCAATAGTGCTGGCTTTATCATGTTGGAGATCTTCTCCATAGTAGTATGCTTACCACTTAAGTGTAATGGCATCTTAGTGGTGGATGACTCCTCGGTTTTAGGCTTCTTTCTTAAATTCATCAGCTCCATAGAGAAAGAACCCTCTTCCACACAGCTGCCCTGCAGGGTCACCAACTCTTCCAAGCAAGACTGCTTCCCCTGATATGTACACATTTTCTTTAAGGATGATTTCTTCTTGGTGATAGCTGCCTCCTTGGGTATATGCTTCTTCCCAAAAGTTACTGGCTCTATAACAAATTCATTATCGTCAGTCTCCTCCAGTAAGGACAGTGACTTTTCCAAAAGGGAAGATTCCCCAGGGTTTGTGCACTTCTTTAATGACTGCGTTATGAATGTTGTCTCTTTCATGCTAGTTTCCTCTTCTAAAAGTAATGATCTTTTGACAAAAGATACCTCCCCAACAGTGGGTGTTTGGGAGTTGGTAGATACATCCAGAAGGAGTGGTTTCTCTAAAATATTTGGCACCGAGGGAGTAGAGGCTACTACTGGTGAGAGTTCCAACTTGTATCTGTAAAGGAAACAAGGTTTGGATAAGAAAAATGTGTTTCACCTACCATCTAATTTTGTGACTATATTTACATAGGGAAAAGAGGTTCAACACAAGAGCCAGTATAGAAGGTACAAAAACAGCAAAATTAATGGCAAATTAAGTAGTAACACATTGGACAGTTTCTACACCTAGGTCTCTATACTTTTCTAGAATTTTCTCCTGAAATCTATGTTATACTGTTTACATATGATTAACTACCTTTATTTATATATATGAATACTTTTATTATAATACTTACCACAATGTATATATTATCACTTTATGTATTAGTTTCCCTCACTACCTGCATATATTTGTCTTTCTAAGCACTGGGCATCTGGTAAAATGGTTGAAATTAGGCATCTGATAAAGTAAGTTAAAATTAATACTGCTTGAAGGCCAATGAGAGAGGCCAGTCAGTAACTAACACTGCTGTTACCTAACCATATTTCCTTCAATTTGGGCTACACAGGATATACTTTCACGACGAAAGTAATAAAAAGACCAAAACAGAAATTTGTCATTTCTCAGATAGAAACCTTGGTATTAAGCAGGATTTTAACCAAGTGTGACCAAATCGCTGGAAGAAGTAATCAGAATAAAAGAAAATAGAAGGCAAATTAAAAAACGAACTTGAACAAAAGGTTCAAGGAGTAAGTATCCCCAAAGACCAGATATGTATATTCTCATTTACATAAAACATCCAGAATAGACATATTTCTAGAGATACATCAATAACAAAAGTAGATTTGTGGTTGCCTGAGGCAGGGGTAGGTTAGGGGAAGAAAGGGCAACTGGGAAAGGAAAAAGATTCCTAAACTGCAGATAGGGGTTTCTTTTGAGAGTGTTGAAAAGTAGTACAATTAGACAGTGGTGATACCTATACAACTCTAGAGAATATAACCAAAAACATTGCATTGTAAAAATGAATTAAAATAAAGTGTTTCCAAAGTTCTGCATGACAACACAGGTCCCAAGTCCTTCCTGATGAGGTAGTCTTTAGATGGTGTAGTTATCATAAGAACACACACACTGTCTGTCATTAGACTGCCTGGCTCTTCCACTTACCAGGTAGGTGACCCTTGGCAAGTTAACTTTCTATTCTATACCCATAAATGGGGAGCACAATCATATCTCCTTCATAGGCTTGTTGTAAAAATCTGACAAATTCGTATGCTTAAAATAAATCAAAGTTGTTAATTATGTACCAATAAATTAGATCATTTTGATGAAATTGGAAAACTCTTAGGAAGAAACAAACTACCAAAATTCATTTAAGGGGAAAATTAAAAATCTGAATAGACCTATAAAAAAAGACATTGAATTAACAACCAAAAAACTGATAACAAACAAAAATCCAGGTTCATAAGGCTTTACTAGTGAATTCTACCAAGTAGTTAATTAATATCATTTCTCATGTTCTTGGGAAACAGAAAAAGTAGAGACAGTTTTCCGCTCACTCTTTAAGGTAAGTATTATTTTGATACCCAAAGAAATCGTTAAAAAACTACAGACTAATATTTCTTATGAATATTCATATAAAAATTCAACAAAATACTAAGAAATGAAATACAGCAATATATAAAAGGAATATGTAGCATAAATAAGTAGCATTTATTCCATTTATGCAAGGTTAACTTAACACCCTAAACTCAATTCATGTGCTATACTTATACTGATGGAATACAGAAAAAAAGCCAAATAATCATTATCAATAGATCCAGAAAAATCATTTGACCAAATCCAACATTTTTTCATGATATAAACACTCAGCAAACTAGGAATAGAAAGAAGATTCCTCAACTTGATAAAGGGCTTCTATGAAAAACCCACAGTAACACCATAATAGTGACAGGATTATGCCTTCCCTCTAAAATCAAGGGAAGACAAGGTGCCAAACTCCTGGCTCTATAACAAACTCATTATTATCAGTTTCCTCCTGTAAGGAGGAGACTTATATTCACTCACTTCTTATACTCACCGTTGTACTGAAGGTTCTAGCTAGGGCAACTAGGCAAGGATATTAAATAAAAGGCATCTTGATTGGAATAAATAAATTAAAAGTATCTGTCACAGATGACATGCTCTTATATAGAGGAAACCCTAACAAATTCACACAAAAACTACAGACCCAAGAATATAAGATCAATACACAATAATAAAATGTGTTTCTATCTTTTGTAATTAACAGTTTAAAAAGGAAATTATTAAGTGGCTGTGAAATTTGATTTAAAAAGCATAGTAGATATATGGAGGAAATATTATTCAGCTTCAAAAATAATACAGTCTAATGGCCACAGTAGGAAATGTTTGTAATCCTACCTATTCAAGAGGCTGAGGAGGTGGGTTACAGGTTCAAGGCCAATTAGGGCAACTTATTCAAAAAATAAAAAAGACTAAGAAAATAGCTCAATGACAGAGTAGATGTCTATTGTGCAAGGTCCTGGGTTCAATCTCCAATACAGGAAAAAAATCCTTTCATTTGGAGCAACAAACACATTACAAAAATATACAGAATATTATATTAAATGAAAATGTCATGTAAATGGGCCAATACTAATAATCCTATCAATATGAGGAATCTAAAATAGTCAAACTCATACAAGCAGCGTACACGGGAGTTGTCAGGGGCTAAAGGCTGGGGAAATGGAAAGATGTAGGTCAAAGGGTACAAAGTTTCATCTATGCAAGGTGAAATAAGTTCTAGGAATCTATTGTACATCTTGACATATGTACTTAACAATGCTTTACTGCATATATAAACATTTACTATAGGTTAGTTATAGGCCAGGAGGAGAAATACGAAGCCAACTCTCTCCTGTGAGCCAGTGGCAGTCATGAGCCAGGAAGAGAACCAAGAAGCCAACCCCTCCTGTGAGGCAGGAGCAGCCATGCAGGGCTAGGAGGAGAACCAAGAAGCCAGCCACCTCCCAGGAGCTAGCAGCAGCCATGGTCCAGGAGGTGAACCAAGAAGTCAACCTCCTCTCATGAGCCAGAAACAGTTGTGGACCAGAAGGAGAACCAAAGAGCCACCTCCCTCCCATGTGTCAGCCTACATGTGGGCTGGGAGACAAGTACCCCTTGCCCTCACAGGTAAGTAACTGGCTGATTTAGAAGAATACAGGCTGAGATGATAGCTACTGAAGTAAAAAACTTAACGGTTGTATTGTTTGATTGACTCAGCAGGCCTGAGGCTGGTAGTCTAAGCATCTATTTAGAGGATAACAATATGCAATATAGCCAACTATGGGAAATTTCCTTCTGTCTTGTTTTTGAAATTGAATATTGTTCTCACTGTTTTGTTTGGTTCTACATTATTGTTTAGTTTTATTCCCTTTAAAATTAAAAAAAACATTTACTATACTGTATACTTAAACATTGACTTGGGTAGATCTTATATTAATTTTTCTTATCCCAATTATATAATAAAAGTAAAGAAAAAAGGAGGAAAATTTAAAACACAATAAAAAGAGCTGGGGATATAGCTCAGTGGCACAATGGCTACCTGGCAAGTGTAAGGTCCTGAGTTTGATTCCTGGTACCAAAAGAAATTTTTTTTAAACAAAAAAAGAAATAGTACCAAAAATACAATGTTTAGACAAATTTTAACAAGTATAAAAATTATACCCTGAAAAGTTTGCAAAATATCGAGATAAATTAAAGATCTAAATAAATACAAAGAAACTGCATGTTCATGAATTAGAAGACTCGGTATTTGTTAAGGTGGCAATATTTTCCAAGTTGATTTTGAGATTCAAAGCAATTTCCTGAAGAATTCCAGCTGGCTTATTTATAGACACTGACCAGCCGATTCTGTAATTTATATGTAATTACAAAGAACCTAGAATAGCAAAATAGTCTTTAAAAGAGAAAACAAGCTGGGCATGGTGGTGCACATTTGTAATCCCAGCACTTGGGAGGCTGAGGCAGGAGGATCACCGTAAGTTCAAGTATAGCCTAGGCTACATAGTGTGTCCAAGGCCAGAGTGAAATATGTAGCAAGACCTTGTATCAAAAAACCCAGGAAAAAAAAAGAAAATAAGATTTTGAGGACCATATTTTTCCAATTTCAAAATATACCCCAAAGTTGCTGTAATCATGATAGTGTGGTACTGGCACAAGATAGGTAATGGTAAACACACTGATAGATCAGTGGAATAAAACTGAGAATCCAGATATAAATTCTTACATTTACAGTCAATTAATTTTTATAAGAATGCCAAAACAAAGGGAAAAAGATTAGTATTCTCAACAAAAATCCTGGGGAAATTGGATAATCACATGAAAGACAATGAAATTAGACTCCCCTAACCAACAATAAGCAAGAAAATTAACTCAAAATAGATTTTAAAAAACCTAGTTAAGAGCTGACACTTTAAAATTTTTAGAAGAAAACAGGTATAAATTCTTTTTAACCTAGATTTGGTTTCTTTAAATATGACATCACAAGCCTAAAGGTAACAAAAAATTATACTTCATCAAATTTAAAAACCTTGTGGTTCAAAATGCATCACGAACAAAGTAAAAATACAATGCACAGAATCAAAGAAAATACTTGCATCTCATATCTAATAAATGGCTTTTATCTAGAATATATAAAGACCACTTAGAAACGAAAAATACAAACACTAAGAACTAAATATTTTAATTCACAAAGGATCTGAATAGTTATGTATTCTACCAAGGAAGATACAATGCAGCCACTGTGGAACACAGCATGGCAATTACTCAATGTGTTCAACTCAGAATTACCATATGACCCAGTAATCACACTTCTTGGCATAAGTGGAAAAAATTAAAAATAGATGTTCAATCAAAAGCTCACATACAAGATATTCATAGCAGCACTACTAACAATAACCAAAAGGTAGAAGAAACTCAAATCTCTTATCAACTGATGGATGGATAAATATATGATATATCCATACAATAGAATATTATTTGACAATCTTAAGAAATAAATACTGACACTTACAAAACATGTAGGAAACCCAAAAACTATAAGTGAAAGGTAACATAAAAAGCCACACATTATGTAATTTCATTTATATGAAACATCCAAAATAAGAACATCTATATAGAAACATAAAGTAGATTAGCAGTTGCCTAGAACTGGGAAGGATGGGGATACTGAGAGGTGATAGCTAAAGGGTTTGTTTGGGATTGGAGAAAATGTTATAAAATTGTGTTGGCTGCATAACAGTGAACATACTGAAAGTCACTGAGTTATATACTTCACCTGAGTTGTGTCGTATGCAAATTATATCTCAATGAAGCTATCAATAAAAAATTTACAAGGTGCATGATTATAATGAATACTCAATAAACGACAGTATTAGTAGTTCTAGTACTATTATTAGGGTTTATTTCACTGAATCTTAAACAAAAGAAGAATGTTCCCGGCATTAGTGAGGGTTTCATTGCTAAAGTTAGAACAATGAAAGTAATTCAAAACAAAATAATGCAAGAAACTAATGTCTAATATGTATGTAAACTTCAGAAATCCCATTTCAACAAGAAACCACATAGGAATAAATGTTGACCATTTGGCTTGATGACTTTCTGCTTAGTAATTAGCGAAGTGTCCAGCGGACCTTTCAGGTTAATTTTCCAGACTTCCCAATCTTCTTATTTACTGGAACCCAAGTTTGGTCCTGTTATAGCTATCTATTTAATCTATTCAAGCACAGGTTGGTCAGTACCTGAAAAAATTATTTCTACAAGAACGAGAAGAAAATATACAAAGGACTTAATCTACTTTTTAAATCTTCTTCCAGGAAAAATTTTCTAGAAGTAAATTGTTTTTCCACTTCTAGATAAGAATGTTCATCTCCCAAAGATTCTAATGGGATAAACAAACTGGTAAATAGCCAGCTGACGAGAGTCCCTAAAGAGTTAAACTGCCTCCACACTTCCATACACAGAGTAGTTCATAGACTACTAAATTACTAAAACAGAGAAAAGATGAAAATAGGGTCTTTGGCAAATTCTTCAATGACATGTGTTCATGTGCATGCACATGCACACACGCGCACACACACACCACCACCACCACCATCACCATGGAAAAAGAGAGAAAACTGTAACTCTTTAGTAACCATAGCTAGGCTCAACTCTGTGCGCTAAGTTAACATGTCAGTCACCACTGTGGCTCACTAAACATGCTCTTAATGGGGACAAAAAGATGTCACATGCTCTCTGTTCCCATGTAACACAATCCAATCTAAGTCCCCTCTTACCTTTTATTGTTCATTTCAGTATATCTGGCCAACTCAAGATGTTGGCTTCTATTAATCATCTTGGGAACATCTTTTACAAACTCTTTATTGGCTTCCTTCTTAGATTGAGCAGGTTGACTTTGAAAAGCCTACAAACAAAAAAAAGATGACAAGGATGGAGGAAATTGAAGAGAATCACAAATTATCCAGTAAGTTGTACTCATATGAAAGTCCTCAGGCAAGTCATGCAGGGCCCAGGAATAAAGGAGTCAGATAGCAACTCCTAAGAATCAGCCATGCTGGCCCAGCAAGGAGCCCACCAAAAAGCCAACTAGTTGGGCTTTCTGGTAAGCCACGTAGACCACGCGGGACCCAGGAAGAGAGAAGTCAGATACCACCTCCCATGAGCCTACTAGCATGTAGGCTGAGAATCAAGAACTTTCCCCTGACAACATAAGCAACTAGCTGGTTTGGAGGATAGGCTGAGTTGCTATCAACTAAGGTACAAAAAGCAATTGAATGTTTGAATTGTTTGGTTGACTTTGCAGGCCTGGGGCCAGCAGTTTGAGCATCTAATGGGAGGATAACAGTATGCAGTATAGCAAAATTGGGGGATTTCTTTCTGTATTTTTGAAATTCAATATTGTTCCCACTGTTTTGTTCTGATTAACTGTTTTTCTCTATTCAATGTTCTGTTTTGATTGGTTTCATTCTGGGTTTTGTTTGTTTGTTTGTTTGTTTGTTTGATTTTGCTATATCTGATGGGATGGGCAACTATTGTGAATATAACGGGATATACTATGGTAGCCATTGTTGTTTTCCTATTGTCCTGCTTCAAAGTTCTGTACCAATTTCAGTGCTTTGCATTGATTTGCTTTATTCTGGTTTTGCTGTTGTTGTTGGGTTTATCTTTAAAATAAAAAAAAATTAAAGAAAAAGTCCTCAGCACCAGTTGCACTGCTTCACTCTGTGCACCTCAAAGTTTCCACCCTGCATTTTGCTAGAGTCCTAGACACAGTCCCTCCCTGGCACAGCAGGCTGGTCTTCTGCCTGGTTAGCAGCAAGTGTTAAGATTTGTTTTTTTCTGGTGCTCTGCACACCCATGAGACATCACTCAGTCCCCTGTTCCCTCACTGGGCCTGCTAGACTCTCTCCCCATCAGTCCCAGGAGCACTTGGGTCTCTGCTGGAGCCCCAAGGTAACATCAGCCTCCACCTAGTGTCTAGAGCTGGTCACACAGACATCAGAATATACATCAGGTGCCCACTGTTGGCCCCCCGACCAGCAGGAATCTGTACCAGGAGCCTCAGAACCCAATGCTCCAAACAGTTCCTGGACTGATGCCCTAGCTTGGACAAATGGGTTGAAAGACAGGAAACCCACGGCAGTGACAAATCTCCACACAAACCCAGACCATAATGAAGGGCAAAGAGGACTGTGACTTGTAGGATTAAAAAGACTTCAAGCTCTGGAAGAAAACACTCTTCTGATATTTTTTCTTTCTTTTTCTTTGTCTCTTTCCCTTTTTTCTCCTTTTTTCTTTTTTCTCCTTTATTGGTAATTTCTCTGAGGGGTTTATAATTGTTATTATTATCATTGTACTATTAGTAGAGTGTGGAGTTGTATCATCCATTGTTTTTTATCTTTTTGATACAGGGATTCACTATGTCATTCAGGCTGACCTTAAATTCATTTTGTAGCCCAGGCTGGACTCGAACTCACAATGATCCTCTTGCCTCAGTCAGCCGATCAAGTGCTGGGATTACAGGTGCGTGCCACCATGGCCAGTGATCCCCCATTTTCTTATTTTCCTTTTTTAAATATAACTTTATTGTTTTGAACAAGTCTTCCCTTATTTTTATTTCTCTTTTTTCTTACCATGTCTTTTTTAATGTTTTCTAAATACTTCTTATTTTCTTTTCCCCTAGTCTAATCTTCATTTGCTACTGTTTAATCCTGATTGGTTGTTTTCAGTTACTGTTATCTAACATTACTAATTTTTCTTAATTCCTTAATAGGACCTTTCACATCAACCTTACCACCTTCCTCCCATGTTCCATTGTTTAATTTTTCATAACCTATTTCTTTTTGTCTTCTCTTAATGCTTCAATATCCACACCATTTATCCTTAAAAATCTGTAGGTAGTTAATTATGCCTTACTAAGCTTTCACAGCACTCTAGAAGGAGGTAATATTGCTCTATTTACTGTATATAAATACCTGGGTTGTCTTAGTTTGTTCTGTAACAATAGATCTCTTTCTGATGATTAAAGGTGGTACAGTGTAAATTACTAGAGTATGTCATTATCTAGTTTGTGCTTGACACTCATGATTATTTGTTGTAACATTTTTGCCAAGGGGACAGTTATTGCAATCAATTGGTATTCCGTGTATGCCAATAATCACACGGCCTAGGGGTCATAAATAATACTATAATCTACTACAAAAGAACTAGGTATTAGGTCAAACAGTTTGCAACCTATCTTCCCTAGCAAATGAAGGGGGCAGGATCATGGGAGAGACCCAAAAGCCAATCACTAGCTATGGCTAGAGAACACCTCTGAAAAGCTGATGCTGTTATAAGTAAGTCTCTGCAAAACACAGAGACAGACACCAAATCACTTAAGGTAAATAATAGAAGGGATAAATAGAATCACTAGAAATACAGAACTGAAAAGATGCCTTTAAAAGGCAACATCCTACTAAAAATCTTCATATAAACCACACACTCTCCTCACCTCCTCACTCTATTAGACTTCATCTTGCAGTACACTCCTCAAAAAGGAGAAAACATGAGAAGCAAAGAAACAGAAGATTCCTGAGGTCTCCCAACTATACTAAGGGGGCAAGGGCAAGGGGAAACAGAGAGGAAAGTAAATACCAGGTAGCAGAACTCTATGAAAAGTTTATAGAAGGGATGAAGAATCTAGATGACTTTAAGGAGAAAATGAACCAAAAGTTATAACAGTGTCACTCAGTAGACCCATGGTAAATTCAGGGAAAGTAAGTAAAAAACTGGATGAGCCAACCAAAACAGTTCAAATCTTGAATGATAGACTCAACAAGGATACAGAATACTCAAAAAGATGTCAGACACAAAGAGCTGAAATAAAAAGAAACTTACAGAATTCATATATTTCAGAAATGACCTATGTAAAGACACAGCACCTGAAATTAAGGACAAAATAGTGAATTATGCAGAAACACTCAAATAAGCCACAAAGAAAATAAGAAAACAAGAGAAGATTATCTAGTAGCTGCTAGGTGACAATCAGAAGACCAATCTAAGGTTAACTGGTTTTAGGGAAAAACCAGAAGATAACACAGGTGGATTTGTTAACATGTTTAGAGAAATCATAAAAGAAAACCTTCCAAATATGAGAAAAAGATTTAAAATATAAGTAAGTGACAGTGAACACCAAACAAAAAATGATGAAAAAGATCACCAAGGCATATCCTTATTAAAATACCAGATATCAAGCAAAAGACCCAGAATTTTAAAAGCAGAGAAAAACATAAAAATCACATATAAGTAATTAGAACCATTTAGAACCACAGGAGACTTTTCAACACAAACCTAAAAGGCTAGAAAAGCTTGAAGTGAAGTATTTTAAGACCCAAGAGCAAATCATTTCCAACTAAGATTAATTTATCCAACAAAACTATCCTTCAAAACAGATAGAAAAATAAGATATTTCATGAAAAAGACCAACTCAAAAAACGTGTGAGTGGTATATGTCCCAAAAAATACTTAAGAATATTCTTTACAGAAACAACAAAATCAATAGCTCCCAGAGGAGTCCAAAAATCAAAGTAAGGTTAATGGATAAACAACAAACAAAAAATGTCAGAAAAAGAAAAATATAAGTCACCAATAGAAAAAGAAGACAATAATAGCAAATAATCAGCCTATCTCAGTAATCTCTCTCAACAGCCTCAACTCTCAAACTGAAAGACACAGATTGGCAGATCAGTTCAAAAAGCAGAATTCAGCAATCCTTTACATTCAAGAAACTCATATAATCCAAAAATATATTCAGAGACTAAAAATTAAGGGATAGAAAACAATATCTCATGCTCCAAAAACCTGAAAAAAACAGGGGTAATAATTTTGAACTCAGGCATGTAAACTTAATACTAAAACTGACTATAATAGACAAAGAAGTTCATTAGATATAACAATCCAACAATAAGAGATAACACCGATATTTATGTACCAAATACTATATCTCTATAAAACAAAAACTAATGAATATAAAAGATCAAATAAACTCTAACACAATCAATAGCTTTGACACACACTTTGCAAAGATATAGATCAAATGGGCCAGGGATTTAGCTTAGTGGCATAAGTGCCTGCCTGACAAGCATGCGGTCATGAGTTTAATCCCCAGTACAATGAAAAAGATAAATAAGTAAAATTCAGAGCTAAACCACACTCTTGAACATATGGGTGTAATAGATATTTACAAAGCATTCCAACCCTCTATAAAAAGAGTATACATTTCTTTCTGTAGGACACAGAACTTTTTTCAAAACAGATCACATACTAGTCCACAAAGCCTGCCACATAAATATCAAAGAATTGAAATGATCTGATATATACTATCAGACCACTACACAATGAAAATAGAAAACAACTAAGGAAAAAAAATCACAGAAAAGTAAGAAGCTCCTGTAAAAGGAAAAATATACTCCAAAACAAGCAATGGGTCACAGAAAAAAATAAAAGAAACTAAAAACTTTCTAGAAGTTAATGACAGGAACTGTACAACTCACTAAAAACTCTGAGACACTATGAAAGCAATTCTAAGGAAAGTTCATGGCAGTTAATGCTCATATTAGGAAAATGGAGCAAGCTCAAATTAATAATCTTACGAGAAATCTTAAAATACTTGAAAAAGAACAATAATCCAGGCCCACACCAAAATTAGAAAGAGAAGTTATAAAGAGCAGAATTCAATGAAACTGAGAATTTAAAAAACAGTACAAAAATATCAACAAACTGAAAAGCTAGTTCTTTGAAATATTAATAAAATATATAAGCACTTAGCCAGACTCATACAGAGTAAGAAAAGACATCAATACAATCAGAAATGAAAACAGTGAAATCAGAAGAGATGTTGAAATCCACAAAATAGTAACTACT